AACCAGAAGGAATGGGGTTAAGGTGAGGGGGAACGAGTTGAAAGTCACCTCAGGAGCACATTTTTCACACAGATGTTGGGTAAATTATGAATGAGCTGCCAGAGGAAGCAGCAGAGGCTGGTACAATTACATTAAAAAGTCATCTGGATGCAGACATGAATAGGAAGGGTTCAGAGGTATGTGTGCCAAATACTGCTAAATGGGACTAGATTAATTTGGGATATCTGGTCTGCTTCGACAATGTGGGCTGAAGGGTCTATTTCCATGCAGTAAATCGCTATGACCCTATGTTCATCTCTAACACACTCACTAATGTTATTGGCTGAACAAGTCACTTGTGTTTGAGCTAGCTTATTGTTATTGAGCTCTCTCACTGCTACTGCCTTGGATTGGCCTCATCGGGAAATGCTGATTTTGTTGCTTTATTAACAGCCACAATTTCGATGTTGCAATCCCTTTATCTTGGTATCTGCAAAGCACGGTGCATCTCTTCTTCCTTCTTTCCCCAATATGGTAGGAATAAGTAGAGGGTGTGGGTTGATTGAGAAACATTAGAATAATGGTGTGGACACATCTGGTGGATGGCTTGTTTTTACTGGTTGCATCATTGTATCATTTTAGACCAAATATATCAGCATCTGTTTTGGGTCGTGCCTGCATCGAAAGGCAATGACTGTGGTGTCCTTGCAGATGTTGAAATCGTACTGGCTATGTTTCACACCAGCCCTTCACTTGAAAACTGTCTGCGGAGTACACGAGAAGCTGTCCAGATGAGCGTTGAGTTTTAAAATGGACTGGAGACATGTAGAAATCAAACATGAAATCTCTTAGTGCAGCGTAAGGCACATTACCTGTTGCAATAACGAGAATGCAGGGTACCAGCTCGCATCCTGCGATTTGTGCCCTTTGTGAACAGAGACATGAGATGGAATGGCAAAATTGACAACCTGAAGTATCAGCAAAGGTAATCGCTATCACTGCTTAACTTCAATGGTTCGCTTTCAAAAGTGGGGAAATCTACAGAAAAATACTGACCTCAGCAAATTTCCTGCTTTATTCTCCAAGCCAAAAGACACTCGTTGAAAGTTGTACATGGAAGAAGATTATTGTAAACCATTTGGAACTTCCTATCCTACCTTTTGTTCCAAAACCTTTTTTTCCCTTTAATCATTCAGGGGATGAGGGCGTTGCTGGCCAGGCAGCATTTATTGCACATCCCTAATTGCCCATAGGGCTGTTAAAAGTTAAACACGTTTCTGTTGGTCTGGAGTGACATGTTGACCAGACCAGATAAGGATGGCAGTTTCCTTCCCTGAAGGTCATCTGTAATCCTGATGGGATTTTCCCTGACAATCCACAATGGATTTATAATCATCATTAGGTTCTTAATTCCCGATATTTGATGGAACTCAAGATCCACCATCTGCCATGGTGGGTTTCGAAGCCAGGTTCCCACACCTTTCCCTGGGCTTCCTAGATTTATAGTGCAGCAATAACACCACTCCGCCACCGTCTCCCCCATCGTTACTATTGAATGATTTTTTTTTCCACTACTCATCACACGGATCCAGAGCCTTTATCCTCCGATATATATACACTTACCCGGGCACTTTCTGAAAGCCTTTATTTCTTTTCCTCCCTACCTGTAACTTGGCCGTATATTACAGATCTTAACAGCTCGCTGCATACAAGTTCACATTCTCACACCTAGTGTACAATTTGGTTGCAATCAATCCCTCCGAAACCTCGATCGAAGCGGAGGAAACTCTTTTCCCACTAAGTTAAGGTATTGTAGGGGGCTCACAGTAATGTCTTCTCAATAAAGGTAGGCAGTACTGTCATCGTAATTGAATGTGAAAAATACGTTAAAGATGTTCAAATACAATTATTTTCTGATGGCCTTCACATTTGGCCACTGTTATAACTGCCTTCAGTTTGAAAAATCCTGATCGACAAAATGGCTGGGATGCGTTTTGGATGCTGAAACCATTTTTATTTGTGTTTCTCAGTTTTAGGAGTGCACTGTACTGTGCGCCAGATGCAACAGAGAAATGATTAAAATCGTGCACTTAGTCAAATCATAGAATTTTGTAAACAAAAACTAATGGATTTTGTCGATGTCCGTTTTTTGTTCGGAATTATATTGTTCAATTTTCCATCAGAATAATCGTTAAATGTGTTTCCAATTATCAACTGTACCATAACAATAAAACAAGGAACTACGGATGCTGTTGATTTGACAATAAAACACAAATTGCTTGCGAAACTCGACAGGTTCTGCAGCAGCTGCGAGGAGAAAGGAGAATTAACTTATCAAGTCCGTTGACATTTCATCAGAACAGTCGGCCCAGTTGAGTATCTGTGAGAAATTAAAGTCAGCCTTACCGTCCCATTTTCAAACTGTACGAATATTGGAACCTCCATGACTCCAATCGCTACTTGAGTATAAACGATAAGCAGCAGACTTGTCAGAGATGTTCAATTCCCAAGAATACATGACACATATTTTTAGTTATTTTTAAGTATTTATACATATGTTTTAATTACTTAGTGTCAGTCAAAACAAATAAATAACAATGTAGATGTGTGCAGCAGTTGCAATAAAGAAGGGCTAATTTCCCCTCATGATAACATAGCCTTCATTGAAGAATGAACAGCAGACGGAAACATTTCAGTGACCGTAAATCGATGCACCTAATTTATCCGAACCCACCACTGGATGGTGTACTTCCCCCATCAGGAACATTCGGA